TATATATTGTCAAATGTACTTTATTTTCACAGTTTCACAATTTCAATCTTGACTATTTGTCTGTAGATCGCAAGGGCATTATTGAAAGCATTTCCAGCTATTCCTGTGATGAACTTTGGTAAGAAAGAAAATGAATCGCTGTGGAGACTCTGCAAGCATCAGGTTGTTATGCAGGTGAATAAGAAATAAAATCCTTAAACAGGCAGATTAACTGACATAAGACAAAAGTGTACAAAAATACAGCAGGGCACAATGCATTGTTTTAACAGTAAAATAACATTCATCATTAATGACACTGATTAAAGAATAAGCTGTACGGCTCCAGAAAACTAAGGTATTACTTTAGATGCAAAAGGAGAATATTCAATTAAAACTTTGTTAGTTACAATGATTAAATTGTCTGAGTGACCGACAGGGTTAAATGGCAGGACACAATAGCAATTTGGAAAAGGTGTTGGTGGGTCGACTTTCATCCCGCAAAACAAAAATGAAGTTCTACAGAAGTGAAATGATACATTTTACTCCTATGGGTCTTGTATTAACAGAATGAAACACAATAGATAATGGCAACATTGTTACACCAGTGTCAAAAAAATGACAAGCCCTATCAGATATATGGATATTTATCTAGTGTAGTGTCAAAAGTCATAAGTAAACAGTTTGACATATGCAGGAATTGGCCTTAATGTTTCATTCAGTTCAATATCTACCTTATTTATTTTGATCTGTATTTTATTTTTGACACGAAGAGCAACTGTGCCATGTGTTCATGTCCAACGCCACCAGGATCAGGACCTTCAATGACAAATCAGGTTAGGTGAACACTATTTGAAGTTTGGAAAAATGTGCATCAGTGTTTGAGTATAACTGTTGTTTTGGCTTTTTGGTTGGTTTGTTTTTTAATGAATACATTGCGACACGTGTAAAAGGTGGTACCACGAACAGTTCCTTGACATGAAGAACGATGACCTAATAAAGGCAAGGGAAGAATTATGTGTAAGTGTGTCCTGTGCTGATAAACCTCAATCATGTGGGAAGTTTGCGTCTTTATCTTTGAAGACGTGCTCTTTTGTCTCCTCCAACAAACGACTTTAAACAGCATAGCACATTATAAAGCTTTAACTGCACTGCACATTTCCATGACATTAGCATTTAGCCTTTGTGCATGTTTATTGTTATCAACACTGTCCTGTTGGGACTTCAAAATTTACTGTAATGTTGTTGAGCATTACAGTTACAATTTTTTGATTCCCCAAGTTAAGCTGAGTTACTGGTTGATTTTTTTTCAAAAATAATTGTATTTCATAACAGGAAAAAATAAAAGTAAAGTTTTGAGGAGTTTGTGTCTTGACTCTTTTAAGATAATAGTAATATTTTGGGAAATTGTGATAACCAAAATCAGACTGATTAGATATTGACATGGTATCCCTGTGAGGGTGTATACTGTCGATATAGACTGCAGTTTCCCTGTGGAAACAGAAATTTTCCTTTTAAAAGCATTCTGAAGTCACTGAAAGAGTAGTTCAAAAATGAAAATGTAGAGGACTTTTACTTTGAAATCCAAAATAAGCCGGCCTTGATAAAGATAGGGAAGTACTACAGTACAAGGATGTGTCATTTGGATCTAATGTTAGAGTGTTGTTAAGTACTTATCGTGTCTGTTAATGTTAAAGCTCCTCCCAGCAATACATTTCTCTTGTCTGAACCTGTCCAACAACTTTGGTTACACAACGTATTCCCGGAAATGGGAGAAACCGGAAGAGACAACGTGGCAAAGTGAAGACAGTCAGTAACCTGACAGGTGTGGGCCTAATCAGAACAACAGACACACATCTTAGAAACTGTAAGTAAATTTTCTGACAATCCTCCACGAGTTATCTTAAAACTTAATTGAAAACAATCTTTTTGCTTTCTTTATAGAATCATCCATGTAAAAGCGTGCGCTTTGAGCCCTCTTCGGAATATTTCCAACTCTGTGGTCACACCCTATGATCGTGGGTGTTGAGTGTTGCGTTTTGTTGAGGAGATTTCAAAGTATCTTAATGTCAGTCATAATATTAGCTGCTCAGAGTTACTCGGAAAAAGAGCAATGCTGCCTTTCCTTCTCTACAGTGTGAGTTGTTGCTTTGTTCCACTTTTGCACTGATGATTAGCTAACATGTTATGACTGGGCCCAATCACTGGAGTTAAAATATGACGGCTTCAGGTACATAGTAAGGCTGTGTAGTAACGCATAGTCTATATATCTGCATCAATGTATTTTTTAAATGAATTAATTTTTTTTTTTTTTTTACTAAATTCGACCTGTGATTAGTCTGAATGGTAGAAAGAGTTTAATTACCAAACCATCCCAACTAAATTCATCAAAAATTAGTCTGCACAAATTAAATACAAATTCACCCTGATAACAGTAAACAAATAGTTTGATGCAGATTTATAGGAGATGCTAATATCTACACAGGCCTACATACTGATTATATCTCCAGTCCATTTGTCCATTTGTGATTTATTCAAAATTAGCTGTGGGAAATTGACAAATATTATTGTGTAACAGTTTATGAGATGAATCATCATCAATTTGCAAATTCTGACATGTTAATGGTTTGGAGGAAGTAATTACTGGAGTTAACTGAGAAAGATCAAAATAATTATAAATTGTGCTGAAAGTAGCTATGCATAATGTTATGTTTGAGAGATGTTTATTTGGAATTTTTTCTATAATGGTTAAAATTGTATTGTGAAGAAATTCATAAAGTACTTACTAAATGATGATCTTCTAATTTAGCGAGACGCCATTTCCTCTCCTGCCTACCAGTTATCTGGCTGCTCCCGGAGAGCGGCTGCTCTCTGGGAGTTTAAGTGATTTATTAAGGTGCACATTTGAACATGAACCAGAGAGTCAAGTATTTAGGGTCTGAGTCTTCTTTGCCAAAGGAGCTACAGTAGCCAGAGTCGTACACAATGAAGAAGTAAAATTATTAACAAGATAATCAACCTCTGTGGGATTAGTGTTCAGGTAGCTGCTCTGCACTGTCTTGGTACAAGGCCACATCGATGTTATTGTTTAACCACAGCAACAAAAATCTTGTGATGCATGTCAGCTGGCTCATCATGAAATCAAGCAAAACTTCTACTCAACCATACATAAAATTGGGAACATTATAATGATTGCTGTGAAATATTAGCTTGATATGTTATATACCTTTGAAGATACATTTATTTGAAAAATGCTCTGTCGACACACTTTCAGACTTTTCTTTCACATATTGAAATCTGTGGTAATGACATGTACATAGCATGGGGAAACAGTTGGCTTGAGCAACTTTTACCACAAAAACGAAAATATCAATAAATTGTCCTGTCCACAAAGAATAAAATACTGGCGTTAATTAGTTAGTTAAGTTAATTATGTGCCTATTTTTCATTTTCAAGACTTGAGTCACTCCAGTCTCAAATCATCATAACTTTTAGAATATTTTGTGCTCCGCCATCTCTGATTTTATGGTCCAAAGTTTAAATATTTAGTAAACAAGGATTGCTGATAATTTTACCTTTGTACATATTTTTAAAAAGGCCCACCAAACCACTTTCAAGCCATTTTTCTTGCACATTGAAATTGGAGTAAATTTTTGAACACGACTGTCTCAGAAACTAATAAAGGTAAATGCAGAAATGTTCATATTTGACATATTTGCTCAATACAGTTTGAAAGTAAAGTGAAAGCAGGATTTTCTTCATTTTGTGCCCAAAACTTTCTTATTACTAGGAGGATTTACCTCATTATAAGACAAGCAAAATTCATATAATTGATTAATTATAACTAAGGGTGTCAGTGTTGGCAAGTAAATATTATTATGTACATGAATCTTCCAGTGTGGTAGCCAAAATAGAATTATTCGCTTCTGAAAACTTTTACAAACTGTTGATATTCTTTAAACTCAAAATTTATTGACTTTCTTTTGTCTTTTCATAAGATTAAACTGGAACCAGATTTCTCATTACTTGGCTAATTTCAGTGATTTGTCTTTCACAGGTAATCTGAAGAAAAGATGGATATTATCACTCAGCTGCAACAGGCAGTTTCTGTTAGTGGGGCAGCAGTCCCCCCACCAACAGAAACACATCCTATAGTCCAGTGCATAACTAAGAATGACCTCAAAAACCTCAAGAAATTACTGAAGGAAAACAATATTAATGGAGTTTACCCCTGTAAAGAGTGTAGGGATTACATAACCCCATTGATTGCTGCTGTTATTAATAACAACAGAGATATAAGTTATTACCTTTTGCATCAGGGTGCAGACCCAAATATACCTTCTAAAGTCCGCTGGACACCTTTGCATTATGTCTCACTGTCTGAAGCACTACCTGATTTTGTGGATCTATTGCTTGCAGCAAAAGCTAATCCAGATGGATGGAGTCCTACTCCTCTGCAACAACAAAAATTCACACCAATGCAACTTGCAGCCATTAAAGACAGGGAGGATATCATGAAAAAACTCATCTCTGCTGGTGCTATGGTGACACTGCTGCCCAATGGTGATTTTCAGTCACTTATTAACAGTAGAAAAATATCTCAGATGGTTAATCACCTTGCAGAAAATGGAGATGAAGTGTGTTCCCAAATCAGATATTTTTTGAATATGGACATTGCTCTTTTGGAAAAAAAACCTGAAGATGTGTTCAGAAATTTTAACAGCCACATGCTGTTGGAACATCCTCAGTTCCACCTGACCATGATTGAACTTCTCTTTACTGTTTCAGGGCCTGATGCAGAAAAATATGGCCATTCGTGTATTAAATGGCTAAAGGAAACTGAAAATGTAAATACATACATTGCAGGTGCAGCCATTCGCCTTTCAAACATTCCTAAGACACATGTAGGGAGCGCAGTCTATAGTTTAAACCGAGTTTTCTGCACAATGGAAGACATAACAAATGAGCATGCAGTAGCTATAGTTCCACAAGCACTGAAAGTGCTTTGCTTAAAAGAGAGACCTGACATCTGTGAATCAGTGCTACAAACATTGTATGTGATAACACAGAAAACAAAAGGCACAAAGGACTGGCACGTCAACTTTTTAGAGAACTTATGCAGAATAGTTGCCCCTTTTGTAAATGAGCAACACTCCACTAAGATCAGGATTTACACGTACGCTATATTTGGAAACCTGGTGTCAGTTGAACAGACAGCAAATATTTTTACGTCAGTGGGCATAACTTCAGTGCCCGAGGACATACTGACATCTGTAGCAATGGAAATGGATGACAGTCTGAAAAAGGTGGTGAGAGGTCTGAAAGAATATCTGAGCAAACCAAACTCAGAATGTGAGGGAAACACAGCCTCAACTTTAGGGAGGAAGAAGAAAAAGAAGAAGAAAAAGAAGGAAAAGACAGAAAACCCAAATGCTGAAGTTTCGACTGCAGCAACTGAACTAACAACAAAGCTTTCTGTTGTAGAATCAACTTCAAATGTAAAGCCTTTTGACTACAGCATCATTGAAAAATCAGAAAAACGAAACTGGGATCCAGTCAGCAAGAGGTGGAAGGACAAACTGGAGATGCTTGCTGGCTCAGATGACAGTAAAATATCCAGAATCAGAAGCATTATTTATGTGAATGATGCAGAATTCAGAATAGCGAAGGGAAGTGATGCTACTGAAGTCTTCTTGGGGCTGAGAGAGGACGGCACAGAAGTTGCCATTAAGAGAATGTCTAAAAGCAACTATGACGAGCTGAAGAACGAAGAAGTAATTCTACGACATCCAGAACTTGATCATCCTTATATCGTACGATATGTTGATGCTGCAGAGGACGAGAACTTTGGATATCTTTGTCTGCAACTTTGTGAATACACCTTGGAAGAACATATCAAGAATGATGACCATGACCCACAGATGTTAAAGGAACTTGTAAAACAAATTCTTGAAAGTCTAAAGGTGCTTCACTGTGGAAATCCTGAAATTATTCACCGAGATCTCAAACCCCAGAACGTTTTGATTGGTGAGACATGTTTGAAAAACAAAGGGGAAAAACAAAAAAAATAAACATGTGTCAGGTAAATATAAATTAATGATTTAGTTTCATGAGTTTTGTATGTTATTCCTCCTGCAGATGTTACTGGGAGGGCAAGATTAGCTGATTTTGGCATAAGCAGACGCTTACCCAAAGGCCAAACAACTTTACTTACACGCAGTGCAGGAACCAGATGCTGGATGGCCCGAGAGACTTTAGCAGAAGAAGCAGAAGAATCTGCATCATACAAGAAAAGCACTGACATACAGGTAAAGTCTGCTGCACAAACTTGATTGACTGAAAGATACCTTGGTAAAAATCCCTAAACTGATGTGTTACTGTTAAGGTGGCTGGGATGCTGATTTATTATATCCTGTCTGGAGGGAAGCATCCATTTGGTGACTTGAACGTTAAACCCTTTAAATGTGAGTTAAACATTTACTATGGGAAGTACAGTTTGGATCAAGTTCAAGATGTGGTGGCAAAGGATCTCATAGAGTGGATGATCAACAAAGAGCCAAAGGACAGACCCACAGTAGAAGAATGCTTGGACCATCCCTTCTTCTGGAATTCTGAAAAGTAAGGAAGTCATGCTGTAACAGAATCTGTGATTTCTGGTTTCACTTCAGTAAAGCAAGAATACACATGCTGTATAATAATGAGAGCCTAAACTGTGGGGGAAAAATTTTCAGTCTGTTACTTGGCTTAATCTATATGTTGGGAAAATGAGGTCAAACTGTCTTGTACTCAGACAGGCACGTTAACATTGGCAGCAAATACTAAATTATTTTCCCACCCTTCTGTTCTTGTCTTTTTAAGCAAGACTCTTTTGTGCTGTTCCTGTTATTATTCAAGATTTTCCTCATAGTTTTTTTGTTGTTATTGTACTTATAAAGCATAATTTCAACTTTATTTCCAGGCAGTTGGAATATTTGAGAAAGACTGGCAACAGGGAGGAGGTGAAAAAAACTAATGAAAAGCTGATTGCTTCACTAGAAGCATATGCTAATGGATCCTTCAACATGTGGAAAAATAAGGTGACTTAAAGATGAGAGGTCAAACTTCTATATTCCTAAATTCCTGTTGATGACCACTGTGTTTTGTTGTTGCAGTTTCACCAAGAGCTGGTTCAGAAGATGGAAGAGGTCAGACCACCATACTCTGAAAACACACTGGGGTTACTGCGCTTTATACGCAATTTCATTGAGCATGAGTAAGTTAAACTAAATGAAAAGTGATGTAATTCATGAACACACATATTTATATGTGTATATCTGTTAATTTCTTGTAACTATATGCACATATCACAAATATTTCTGATACTATGACAGATTTGGAAGCTTACTTGTTATTGTACTTATAAAGGTGATGCGCTCCCCCTTTGTGAGTGTGGACGCTTCATCTCTTTGCTCTTTAAATGCTTTGCTTCTTTTATTGATTTTTATGCTGATTTTTTCCCTTTTTTCCGTATGAGCTTACCTGCGATAGCTTCTGGACACTTATAGATCATTAGGACTAAAGTGTTCTTAACAGAAACAGCAACATTTTTATAGTTACCTTATCT